GATTTTGCAGAGACATGTAACAAGATCAATGAAATCTCAAGGTGGACAAAAATGTCTAAGTAATACATAATAAAATATTTAATATTTGTTCAGAGTAGGGGTATTCATCTGATTAATCCATGGAATAACCGACACACCTAATCTCTTAACCCAGATAGAAATATCAGCACTGTCGATTGCACCTATAATTGAGGTGATGTCTGCCATGTACTTTTGTCAGTTTTTCAGTTTTTTTTATTGATGATCACTTTGTTGGTGCAACTAAATAAATTAATTAATTAAAACTATATATAAAAATAAAAGTAGTACCAACCCTAGCAAATTTCTCATTTCGTCCCAATTAACCGCAATTTTCGGGTAAATAGGGATTACACCTATTTTTGCATTTTTTGCTTATACTGGAATGCTAGTTGCATAATTTTAAATTAGACAACAAAGATGCCCCTAAGACTCAATCATTTTGATCCTTATATAGCATTATATACATCAACAACTACCTTAAAATTGCTCATAAAGTTGGAATTTGTCCCTAATCGCCCCATTTTACGGTAGTTGTTCTAAATATGAAAGATAGGATTTAAAGCCCCTTCCATACTTCTCTATGAAATACCTTTTGATGGGCTAAAATTATCCCTAAGTAACTCAGGTATATAAGCTATCTTAAAATAGCAATAAATAGGCATCTATGCGTATAATTTAAAGAATATTCTACAACTTTCTCAAATTCTCAAAACATTGTAGATGTCTTATTAAATATTAACTTATTTGGTTGTTACTTATCTATACTAATATTATAAAGAGGAAAGATTTGTTTGTTTGTTTGTTTCGAATAGGCTCCGAAACTACTGGACCGATTTGAAAAATTCTTTTTCCATTAGAAGCCGACATTGTCCCTGATGAACATAGGCTACTTTTTTTAATTTTTTTTTTAATATTTTTTTTTTGTGTCATGTGTGTTTTAATGTTTCCGAAGCGAAGCGAGGGCGGGTCGCTAGTAGTAGAATATTTCGATTTGTATTTTTTTGTTTATCAATGTAACATAGAATCTTACGTTTTTCAAGTAATTAAAGTGTAAATTTTACTAAATAGCTCAAAATTGTACATACATAGTGATTAAAAGAAATGTGAGCCGTCACGGGACGCCTGGCAGATGTGAAACATCGACATTATTTTGTAAAAGTAATATGCAGAAAAGATCAGATTGTGATAGGAACTAAATATGTCATAATGATAAAATAAAATATTACGAAAAAATAATTTGTTTTCAAGTAAAACACAGGTTATGTGTACTGTAGAAAACAACACTGTATACACTACGGAGTATACACTATAGGTATCCGAGCTCAGTGTAGCGAGAGAGATGGCTTAACGCCGGATCGAGTGGGAGAGATTCGCACAGTCGATTGCGCATGGCGACGCATCGCCATGGCATGCGTCGCCACGCCAGAAATCGGTTTTACGTGCGGCTGATGAGATGTTTCATATCAAAAATTATTCGGATTCGAGTTTTTTTCTTTTCTTTGCATTTTCTGAGAACATTTACCAAGTAATGTATATATTTTTTACATTATCAGAAAGAAGATATTTCAACGAACAAAAAAACCCCGACTTTTTTTAAAAAGCTGATATTTTGACGCGAGAATTTTCGACTGAAAATTATGGTGGTTTTTTCGCTATTAAGTCAAAATAAGGTGAAAAAATAAATATTTCAAATCAAAAAAATTACCGTGTCTTTAGGACTAAAAAGGCAAGTTTTTACCAAATTTCTTGAAAAAAAAAATTTTTCTTGCATAAGATAAAAATAAAAAACCAAAAACTAGATTATTTGAATTTTTCACATAAATTTTGAGGCTATGTGAAAAAAGTGTAATCACAAAAGTTGTAGGTCTCTTTATTATCTACAACTTTGTCATTTAATTTTTTTCCATAGGACTTGTGGTTTTGCCGGAAATCGAGATAAACCGTTTTTTACCCTTAAAAACTCACCCCCTCGCACTTCCCGACCTCAGATCGCCCGTAAATTATTTTTCTTTTTATTTTTGTTATATTCTCGTCCTTTTTTCGGTTTTCATCCTACTATTATTTTTTTTTGTTTCAAAAATTATCGACCATGGTCTACTTACTATTGAACTGCCAGTTTTAGGATAGTTTAACTTAGGAGATTTAAATAAAATATATTTTGTAACTTGCACTATGCTTTATTATATATATTTATATATATTTCGTTGTGCATTTTAGTTCTTGTATGTTATTTATGGGTTGTTTCTCAAATAGTGTTTCAAAATAACTGTTTAGCGGAAATCCCCCCTTGGTGGAGCGACCTTGTCGCGGTGGGGGGGCTTGCGGGGAAGGACCAAACACAACACGTCAATAACACCTGGCAGCCACAGGCATACCCTTCCCTTACCAACAGCTCCACGACCTGGAACTCAAAAGAGCTCCCTTGCAGAGGGACTTAGCGCCAGTCCCTCGGTCCGCAACCTGTCCCACCATGACAACGACCCCACTTCAGCGCTCATGGCAGTACGTCATTGGCTATGGACAGGCCGGAGGCTTGCCTTTACCGGCCGGCCACGACGAGGAAAAGTCTGTAAAACCCGAGAGAGAACTCGTAAAACCCTGTAGATACCTGGCGACCTCCACAGTATGTAGCCTCTCCCCCGGAATGGGCGTCACCCGAGGGAGCATATTTATATCGGCCTAACTCGTGGGAATTTTATGGATAGTGTAAATTTAAAAAACCCAACCCGTACTGATCTAATGACGACCTCTGCTGACGATAAAACTGACAACCGAACTGCTACCACGACGACTATGGCATTCTTAACGGACGATGAAGATATCTTCCATGATGTTTTCGATGAAAATTCATTTTTAGGAAACCCAATTTTAGATGCCATGAATCGCATAGTCTCACATGCAATGGCTATCTCTAAAAAGTTACCGGAAAACAAGAGCGTGACTAAAGCAAATAAACTTGAAGCGATAAAACATGCAGACTCTATCAAAAAACTAGCAGAAATGCTTATCACAAACATTAAAGAAAACCCTGATAACCTATCAATCCCAATTCCAACTCCACAGACTCTTAATAAAGAAGCAATGGTAGCCATCCAAAATACAATAAAAACAACCTTGAAAGAATACACAAATATCAATCCTAATCAACTCAATCAAAAACAAACTTATGCAACCATAACCAATACTACAAATAAATCAAGTGAATTTCCTTCACTTAGAACGTCAGATAAACCCAAAAAATCTAACCCCGCTTTACTTGTAACAATCAATGGCTCCACCAGTAAAGAGGAATCTAGAAAGATTTGGAGAGAGGAAATTTCCTTCCGAAAAGAAAAATATTTACCCACAAAAATTTCGCCAATTAAAGACGACAAACTTAAAATAGAATTCGAAACAAACGAACAACTTAACAATACTATCCATTTAATAAAACAATCCAAAAGTAATAAATTATCTGCTGAAAAAATAAATAAATTACAACCTATGTTCATACTTAAAGGAATTCCTAAAACTGTAGACTCCAAAGATTTAACCACTCTACTTATAAATCAGAATAACTGTCTTGAACACCTTGACCCAAAAAATACAGAACCACACCTTAAACTCTGCTTCTTAAGAAGCAACAAAAATAATAATTTAATAAATATACAGATCCAATTGAATGACAAATATCTCAAGCATGTAAATAATATTAAATATCTTGGCATAAATATAGATTCAAAATTAACCTTTACTAATCATGTAAAATACATAATTGACAAAACCAAAAAGCTTTTTAATAAACTAAAGATATATGTTCGTCCCACCTGGGGAATTCATCCTGAAAATGTTAGAA